TCCCTTTAGCTCCAGAATCACTTGGCAGCTTCAGACACTTTCATGATCCTTGGACTACCTGCCCTTTACAGAAAGGCTTAAAAGCCACAATAATTCTCAAATTAAGAACAACCACCCCTTAAGCATTTTGCTTGTGCATTAATCTTTCATTGGTTGATGATCTCTCCTTCACATTCCTGCCTTTCCTCAAGCATGGGTTACTTCAGACCTCACAGCTCAAGCCCTGTGCTCTTGGGCAGAGCCTGTGTCCCACTCATTCAGCTACAGATGGACACTCCACAGGTTTATGGCTGGATGGATTCTTTCCTTTCTCTGGATCTCCCTGAATATTTTAAGTGAAAGGAATAATTTGACACAATTTTACTTCCTTGTTGGCCTCCTATAAATAAAATCCTGGTTGAAACACATGTTCACAGAGAACTTGATAGCGACCAGAAAAGCTAATGGTATATAGAAGTCTGATTACTTATGGATTATTTTTTATTTTCAAAATCTCTAAAAAAAAAAAGTTGGATTTCTATTTTGTAAATATGCATTCATGCCATGTTTCTTTTAGATAGAAAAACAGCACTCAGAGAGACTCTCTGTTGTAATTTATGCAAATTATCCACTGATAATGATACACATATTTAATGTTTGTATCATCCTGAATCTTGAAATTCTATGTCCAAAAAAAAAAAAGAATATGTGGTACCTTTGCTTAGCAGCATAAAACAACCCAAGTTGGGACTGCTTTTCTCCCAGGATACATCTTGTTCAGTAGGTCTCCAGGCTGGTTGATGGAAGTGAAATGCCTGGAAACTGCTTGCTTTCTTCTTTTTCCTTCTTTTCCTAACATAGTGAGGAACTGTGAATTTCTCCATAGTCCTACCTGGACAGTTTTGTTTTTTTTTCTTTTTAGTCTCTGCAAAAATCACCTGTATGAATCCACCACACACCTGACTCATGAATCCTACGACAGCAAAAGAGAGGAACAGGCAGGGAGAAGAAGGACTATGTCAGTATCAACCCAGATTTCCCAGGTCCAATTCACAAAGCTGGACAAGAAAAGGAATGATGAGGCTGAGGACAGAATGTTGTATCAATACCCATGCATTAAATTTTCTTGCTGAAACTGTTTGCCATCTAGTGGCTTGTTGGCCTCCTATAAATACAATCTTAAAAATGGTGAAGACTTGGAGGATATAATTACAAATAAAAAAAGTTCCCCAATGTGCAAGAACGTATACAAAAACAAAAAAATTACAAGAAATGATGAAGTGCCTCTTGCAAAGTATTTGCCATTGGGATGAATACCCCACAGAGACAAGGAAAAGAGACTTGCACACAACTGAGATTCAGAGAGACAATAATTACACACGGTTTGTAATTTTCTTCTTTTATTTCACACTGCTACTCTTCTTTCATTGAAAAGTGCTGACCTAAATTACTCCACCATTTTCTTCAAGCTTGCCCACCCAAGATTTTACATTATATAGAAATTATGAGAAAATTTGGGGAGCTCTGTGATTAGGGGTGGTGGATGTCAGAGAGCAGCAAGATTTGGCTGCTTTGCAACAGAAGGTGTGCCAGCAACTAAGCTCAATACCAAGGCAGGTGAAAACAGTCATTCATCAATAAGGAGCCAGGATGTACAGCAGCAACCCAGGGCCAAGATTAGGCCAGGAGACAGTGGTCAGGGTCAGACACAACCCTTATGGTCACCCAGCAGGGCTGCAGTGGCAAGGCAGGTCTGATGCCAAGTCAGCAAGCCTGGATGGAGGCCAGACCCATGGAGATGCGAGCTGGTGCAAACAGAGCTGCTGCACAGCTGCCCTGTGGCACAGGTGAGGGCTGGCACAAAGTCACAGGCTAAAAGTGGCTCTCGAGGGACAGACAGGCCCTGCGGCTGGCTTTTTTCACAGCTGCTCTTATCAGTGCAGGAACTGACCTTGGACTCTGCCAACTAAACTTCTGCAAAGGGGTAACGTGCTCGGGGCCATGGCAGTCAGAGGGCTAGAACAGAGCTGTGGAACATACCCAGAACAGGTTCATGGAATTGGCTTTTTTTGTTAAAATGGAACGTGAGTGAAAACCCCACATGAAAGTAGACCGAAGCAAAGTTCAAAGACCTTACTCTGTTCGGTTTGAGCAAGCCAAGGATTCTTGCTGTTAATGACGGCTTCATTAATGAGAAGCAGCAAAGGACATCTGGATTATTACTAATCACACTGATTTAAAGCTCACTGATTTGAGGCTACTAATTTAATTTGTACATGAAAAAAAAGATCAAACACAGTCCTAGGATGTATCAGGGTGATACTATTAGGGACACTCAGACTCATTATCTATTAGGGACTAACTAGTCACCTGTGGTTAACAGCAGGGAATTCAAACTAACATATGCACAGATGGCTCAGTGGGATAACCAGGAGAACAGTGAGAATTTCTTGAATTATGGAAGGAGACTAGTAACAACAGTGGCTAAAAAAAAGGGCTGGTGGAGGTACAATAAATGATAGGGTGAATGTCACAAAGAACAGAAAGTGTTTTAATTCATGAGCAGCCCTGGCTGGGGAAAATTTACATAAATATTTCTATACTCAGAACGAAATGAATAAATTATTCAAAAATTGATAAGTAACTAGGCTTTTTCCATTCATAAGGAATGAAATTTTGGGACTGTTTTTCAGTGCAATTAATGTGAGAAAGAAAATTTTAAGAACTTAATAAATACTTTATTTAGTTGCTTGAATTGAATGTGACAGCAAAGGTTTACATTAGAATGTACAGAGGGTCTTTCAGGCTTATTTCCTGCATTAACCAATAATTTACAATGAGCAGCTGTCTGGTTGAAGTCAAACTAGATTATGTGATGTGCTCTTTTGGCTTTACAATATTAGATGTTCAGCTGGAACTGTATGTCTTTAGCTGTATACTGCCTAAAGATTATGCATATATAACCCCATGCTGTAATGACAGTGTTAGGAATAAGAAGCTTGACTAGGCCAATATTCAAGCAGCAATCAATTTATTATTTAATATGGTAAAGTATGAGCAATACAGCGCTGGGTACAGTGGGGGAAGTTTTCCCTCCAACTGCACACCAATAATTGAGGGTTACAGGTATTTATAGGGGTACTCATCAGCTTTTTTCAGCAGTTTCTATTTCCAAATTATTACATCACAATTCTATACACTATTGTAATTTTAATTTCTCAGGATGTATTTTCAAAGGAGTATCCCCAGATGGTGATGGTCCAGTTTCCGAAAGAGGAAAGACGAATCCCATCTGGTGGAGTCCAGCTCCCCAGATGTGGGTCCACCTTTTAATTGCAGAGACTATAAATCTCATAACAGTGATGTCCAGCTTCCCTTTGGTCGAAACCATAAATCCTTGAGGTGATGGTCATCTTCCTTTCTCAAACTGTTTTTCTCTGCTTCCATAAGGTGTGAGATAAGCATATTTCCTATATATATATTCTAAAGCTATAGTTTCAAGGATACAAGTAATATTCTAAAATTATACTTCAAAAGGTTATTATTGCAGAGCTTTTTTATGGATTAAATGCAAGCAAAAAGCAACATCCTTAACACCTTCATTCCAATGATCCTAAGTCAACCAGGGTTAATTGCAAACAAAAGATGGGTTCAAAGGCCTTTTTCCATGCTTTATTTTCATCAGTTATTATTAGAATTCGCAACTATCCCATTGTCGATGTCCACACATTTCGCATTTGCAAGTACACACTTCCCCTGTTTGTACCTGACACGAAACTCAGCCTTGCATCTCACAACAGGATTGAAATAAACTGCATTATCCACAGCCTTTTTTTTTGTAGTAATAAAGAGTGAAACCAAATGAAAATGAGATCAGTATGGTTTACGCATCATTTGATTTATGGACAGACAGTTTGGAGGCTCTTGAAAATTGCAGCAGGATATTTCCACCAGAACCTACTTTTCTCCTTAAAGAAAACACAGAAGTTCAAGTTATACAGTATATTATCTCCCTCTTCAATCTTATTCTGATGTAGCAAAATTATAAGGCATCAAGAATAATCTTTGCAACCTCAAGTGTATCAGAGGTATCATTCCCTCCTCCTTTTCCCCATTCATCTCCATTCCCATTTGAAAGAAAGTATTTCAAAGTAATTGTTGTATTTCCTCCTTATTCACTCAGAACTCTTCAGTCAGGGTGTGGTAGAATGAAGGGTATCTACACAACCATCTGATCAAAGATCAGAGACAAGTTGTGCCTGCATGTGCAGTTTGTGATTGCTCAGGAAGTTTCAAAATTTCCTGTGGCACATATTGGTACTTGAGCCATGCACCATAAATGTTCACCCCCTGCTAGACCCTCTGACAGCAGCACTGCTCCAAATGGACATTTGCTGATGCCTGTGTTTTAGAGGTTGGATCCTCTGTCATAAGAAACACAATGAGGAACTGGGAACTTCTCCATGGTCCTGCCTGGACAGCAGAGGTGGCCGGCTGAGACTCCTCAGCTGCCAGCTCCATTTCCCCGGGAGTTCCACATTATTATAAGCTGGTTCAGGGCAGTTCCAAGGAGCATCGACCACTTGCCCAGCCTGGAGCTGGAGCCCACTCGCTTATGGGCCGGGCCTCCCAAAGGAGCATTTGAGAAGTAGCGATGACCCTTTGGGTGACTCCAGCGCGTATCAGCGCCGAGTCCTTGCTGTGACAAGAAACCCCTCGCGGACCCAGCCGGGCAGAGGGTCAGCATATGTTAGGCTCCATGTCTCCGCTCTCCCGGGAAGGGGAGAGCCGGCGCCAGGATCTGAGGCGGGGGCGGTGAGGGACGGCACGAGGGCACCTGAGGGCACCTGAGGGCACCGGGGGGTGGGGCCTCGCGCTGGCCCCGCCCCTCCGCGCGCTGCCTCGCACTTTGCGTAACCCCGCGGTCACGCCGGGGCGGGGGCGGGCCGCGTGCTGCGTAAACGGCTGCGAGAATCGCCGCCGCGCGCGCTACGGGCGTAAGCGGCGGGACTTTGCCCCCGCCCCGCCGCCGCCGAGCTCAGAGCTCCCGTCCCGCCGCCATGGCCGCCCCGGGGCCGGTGCGGCTCTTCCGGGCCGCCGCCGCTTCCTCCCGCCGCTGGCTTTTCTCCTCCACCTCGCCGGCAGCCGGGCCGAGGCCGGGCTGCAGCGGCGCTGCCGCAGCCGGGAGGGCAGCTCGGCCGTTCAGCCTGTCTGCTCGGGCGGTGCTCAGGTAAGGGGGTCACGGCCGTGAGATCCGGGCGGGCTCCCCGGCGCGGCTGCCCGGAGGAGCCCGGCCGGCTCTCGGAGCTGCGCGCAGCCGGGGCCAGCGGCTGCCTGTGGCACGGGCCGGCGCGGGATGACCTTCCCGCCATGCCCCGGCCCCTCCGCCCCTCTCCGGGTGCTTGGCGGTGGCACCGATGCGCTCTCGGGGCCCCTCCACCGAGCTGTGTCCCGCAGGGCTGTGCCCGCGCTGCGGGTTGGCTCCGGCGAGGCCCCGCACCGGCCCCGGCGCGGGTGAGGCTCGGGGTCGGTGTGACCTGGAACCACGCTGACATGCCTTGTAACGTTATGGAACACTAAACCAGCCTGTCTGGTGCTTACAGTGGTTTTCTGAGAGGTTATGACCTTACTGAAGTTGCACTCGTTTTTCTTTTTTTCTGTTGTTTGGTTTTGTTATGGTCTTTTTTTTTTTTTCTTGTGAAAGTCTGGCTGGGCTTGTGGTAGAAGTGCAGCACATATCTGAGCAATCCTAATACTTAGAGTGTCTTCTGCCTTTGGTATAGTTTTTCTGTGCTGAAGAGCACTTTTGCATCTTTCTTCGTGGAAGGATGGTATGTGACACTTAGTGCCATGATTTAGGTGACATGGTCATATCTGGTGATAGCTTGGACTTGATGATCTCAGAGGTCTTCTCCAACCTAATTGATTCTGTGGTCCGATCTAAAGGTGCAGAGCTTCTCCTCTCCCCACCGGTATGTATGAGTAGGTATTTCAGAATGCATTACATCTGTGGGCATGTAATATTACACAGTCCACAGCTGTAGTTTTGATGCTTATTACTGGTAGTCACAGATTGTTTATGCACTGCCTTCTGGCTTGTTGTTTGTATATTCAAAGATCAGTCAGGTCTACAGCTAACTTTCAGTATTTAAAAAGCAGAAGTTTTAAAACCTGATGTACTTGGTTGCCAGAGAAGTTTCCTAGACTTGGAACAGGACTCACAATCAGCAGCCCAGCATCAGGGGTGTAGCCTGGCCTGTTTCCAGAAGATTGAGATTAAGTGCCCTCGACATCAAAGCTGTCTCAATAGTTTGCTTTTGAACTCTTTTGCAGGCGATCTTTGACTTTGTTGCAGCAGATATTTTAATGTGGAGAGAGAGAGACTTAACTTTTCTAGCCTAGGACTACCATATGAGATGAATAAGTCACTAGTCAGATCTCCTCTCTGAGGGATCCTACTGGTGATCAGTTGATTTTGAGGTCCCTAATTTGCAGTTTTTAATTACAAAAATTAAAGATGTGACATGTTGACAAGTTTTTTTAAAAGGTATTAAAATAATTGAAAAAATAAGCCTATAAAGGGAAGGAATTTCCTTACATAATAGTAATGTAAGACCTGTAATCCCCTCATGTCTTTCACAAACAGGCTGAATACAGAATGGCATTTATTTACATTCATTTTGCAAGCACACCAGCAAAAAAAGCTTATGCAAACAAGTGTTTCCAATGTTGTTTATATACTCAGTGTCTTAACCTGGCTGAGTGAGTTGGGAGAAAAGGAAAGTTCTTGTATATTATTGTTTCCTCCATTTATGCATGAGTTACTTTCTCTGGGCACCGTATTTGAGACCCAGTTCCTGACCTTTTTATAATCCACCAGTGTTATTTCAGTAAAAAACATACATCATTGTTTGGATGTGTGAAATTAGCTATATTTTTGTCTAGAGGATGAAGACATCACTATACAAAACATTACCTGGAGTGGTTCCTGTGAGCAGAGGTTTCCATGGGTTTCAGTGGAGCATCAGGCATTATGTTTTCATTTACATTTCCTCCTTTCTCTTGCTCCTTTTTTATCCTTATCCTTCCTTTTCATGGTGAACAGTAGTTATTTCAGAATTCTTTTTATACCAGTCCAGTTATCTATTGTTTTTGGTCCACAGCATAATAATTGCATGCTTTAAAGATTAGTTCAGATTTACAACTTCTGTTGATTGAGGCCTGTATAATAGTTTAATTAATGGAACTCCTCAGGCAATTAGGGCTGTTGGATTTGCTGTTTATTAAAAGATCTAAGAATAACAGAGCTGGTTTTACCATGTGCAATACCAGATTAAAGTTATGTTTTGTTTGGAGGAATGTAAGAAGTGATTCATGACTTGGAATTAATAGCTGAAGATTCAAAAGGCTAATTCTTTTAAGGGGTAAGAAGTAGTTCTTGAGACTTTTGCAGTATTTACTATTATTTGCACGAGAGGAACAACAAACAGCATTTACAGCTCTCTGGTGCTCCTCTGTGCCTTTGTAGTATGCCTGATTTAGGGTATCCTTGTCAAGCTTGATAGAAAATGTTGATAGGACTGTGGCAAACATGTGAAGAAATTAATTGTATTTTACATCTGGTGAAAAGCGTTTATCTGAGCATGGATTGGGATATTTATGCTTCATGTGGATAACACAAAATAAATTGTGTTTTTCCTGATAATCCTGAGGCTGTTCATACTTGCATGGACCTGGCTCATGTTTTGTGTTGATTGCCTGTGACTGGTTCCCAGCATGTGGGTATTTGAATAGTTGTTTATCTTGATGCAAACTATGTTTGAGTGGACAACCCCATGTTACTTGAAATTTGTAAAGCCTAAATATTGTTTCATGTGGGTGAGATTTTTATATTTTTAATGGTATCCCCCAGCCATTGAGAAGATTGGCTCAGTGTATGTTTTGATTGTCTGACTAGTCTGATTATTGCATACGCACGCTTCTGAAAGTATTTTCACCAAGTAAAGCACCAGAGATGTTTTGAATATTTTGGCTAAGTGAAGAGTGATAGAAGGTGGCTATAGCAAAAAACCAGATCTACTGAAAGACTTAAGAAGTCTATATCAAACTTTACACAAATAAATAAGTTTTAGTTTCAGTTATAAATCAGGGTGGATTAGGTCCTGTCAAAAGATTAAGGTCTGTGTCAGTTTTTACCAAAAGTCAGTGACCTGGTGGTTTCTATCTGTCCCCTTGCTGCATGCCACACCATGAGGCACGCACAGCCACAGTGCGGGTCCCAGCTGGCTGAAGCAGATACCAGATTGCCCCTATTGACAAGGGGATCCCACTGCTGCTTCTTTTTTTGCTGTGGGCAGTGGCACTTTTGTCAGTTTTGTTTTCTGGTCCAGTTGAGTCTTTGTTTTTGTGGTTGATTTTCATCCACATGAGCAAAAGGAGTTGACTTGTAATACTGGTGTAAGGATAACGGCAGGGTGATTTGGAGTGGGGATCACCCAAACCCACATTTTTATACTGTAAAAAGATTGGTTAATCTGATCATGAAACCCAGATTGTGCCATTGCAGCATAAAGTTGCAGTAACACAGCCATTGTAAACTGGTGTAAATTTCATCCAAGGGTCAGATCTGACTCTGCTGGTTCTGACATCTGTGGGGTTATTGACCTTGGCTTTCAGCCAGTGCATTCCCAAACGGAGGTTACTGCAGGACAGTGTGAGCGCTGGAGAGATGAGGAACAAAGGAGCGGGGCGGGACTGTTCCTCTTCTGGCGCCGTGATGTTTTATCAGATTCAAGTGAAGACAGTTTCAAGTGTGTTTTGAAAACTTGGGAGGGAGTTCACTTGTCATTTAAGAAGTTGCAGGGATCTAATGGATGCCCAGACATCTCACTGTTTGGTCCATGGTACTTGTGAGTGCCTAATCCTAGAATAAAGCATATGTTTAGGATATTGGAATCAATATTTAGTACTTGCCATGTCTATACCTTGGCAGAGCATACCCAGAAATGCAAGTACATATTGCATTGTGTCTCCTGTCAGCGTTGTTGTCATGTTGACAGAAATATTTCAGCAAAGGAGAGTGTACTTTGAGGACTGGAAGGGCTTTTTGAGGCAGTTTAGAATTACACTGTCAGACGTTAGCTTAGGCTCTCAGAATGTGGATCTATACCTTTCCAGATGCAGTCTAAACCCATCTGTGTTAAACTCCCGGAGGAGGTGGTGAATTTTGTACTAGTTTGTCTAAGTGGGTGCTTGTCTCCTTGGTTCTGCTGTGGGAGGTGTTAACATAGCCGAGGAACAAAATGAAAGCAGAGTGCTTTCTTAAACCCCCACAGAATGGTTTGCTGGTGATCCTTGGATATCACAGGTGACTGTGCAACATAAATCATATTTTGTAAAGATGTGTCTTTAAAATTTCTGAGTTTTTTTTATAGTACATGCTTCAATTGCATTCTGCAGGTCAGAAGGTCAACCTTTCATTATCAGTTATAGTTTTAGAATGAATTTATAGTTAATAGGAGCTTGTAGCTGCCTTCTGGAGGGTGCACTGAGGGATGATAGGAGAAGAATTGTGTGACTGTGTTTGCAGGGGTCCAAGGATGAGGGAAGAGATGAGGATCTGACTCTGTGTTTCAGAAGGCTTGATTTATTATTTTATGATATATATTATATTAAAACTATACTAAAAGAATAGAAGAAAGGATTTCATCAGAAGGCTAGCTAAGAATAGAAAAAAAGAGGAATGAGTAACAAAGCATAGTAACAAAGCTGACTGTGATTGGCCATTAATTAGAAACAATGGCATGACACCAATCACAGATGCACCTGTTGCATTCCACAGCAGCAGATAACCATTGTTTACATTTTGTTCCTGAGGTCTCTCAGCTTCTCAGGAGAAAAAATCCTAAGGAAAGGATTTTTCATAAAAGATGTTTGTGACAGAATTGAACATGACATCATAATAAATAATCACAGAGCACACTGGTGCCAATGGAACTTAAGAGTTGTGGGAAGTGCATGAAGTCTATAGCAACAAACATTTGTTGTTGTTTCATAACAAGCCAGGACTCAGATTGCTAAAAACACATTCTTTTACAGCCAGTTACAAAAAAAATTCGTTCACTGATTTTTTAGCATGGCCATTTTCAAAATTTTTCTTTAATATTCAGATATACAGGTTAGAGTTTTCCAGGGGGTGACTTGATTTTTGGCTTGTCTTATGTCATAAATCACTCAAGTCCCACAGTTAAGAAGACTATGGGTAATATGAAACATGTGGTTCTTAAACATGGATTTCACATGGAAACATAAATTTTTGAATGGGGTTTTTAGTTGTTCTATTCTTATCAGTCATCTCTTGGTAGATTTCTTCACTGTCTATCCAACAAGTTTTTGTTTTGCTTACTTACTGTAGGAAAGAAAATAATCTATTTAAAATTGAACATACTGTTTGTTATTAGTATATTTAAAGCTTTCCTATAATTTGTGTGTGAAATAAAATAATATGGAATGCAAAAAAAAAATTTTTTTCATGTTAAATGCTCTAATCTTAAGACATTTTTGAGCAGACTGAATTTTGTATTAAATAAACAATTGTCTGGAAAGAAAAGGCAAAAAAATGCAAAACCTTCTTTCTTTGAAACCAGCATAAAAACTTTGTACTTCGCTAGAATTAATATTTACAAGATGAACTCCTCAGAGAATCTGTGCCTAAAACCAGCAGAATGTTATTGGACTATTGCCATTTGTGGGAAGAGAGAAGAATTAAATTTTGGAATTAATAAAGCAAACTATCTAAAACTCTAAGCAGAAATGGCAAAATTTAGAATTTATTTTAAATTATAATTATGAGAACAACAGAAAATTCATAAATCCAAAGCAAGAGTTTACAGAAAGGTGGTGAGGGAAACATTTAAAAGAAGCTCATTTATTTGTTAAAAATACAAATATTGTGCCTAAAATAAACTGTCTTTGGTGAAAGGCAAAACATCTGGATCCCATATGTCTTGTAGTGACAAAACAAACACCAAGGTTGTTTTTTTTTTTATTTTTCATGGTCTTTGTTCAATGTACAACAGTAAAAGCCTGTACATGTTAAAGTTTTTAAAAGCCAATAACTTAGATTTCTCTTTTCTTGGAGTTGATAGTAGTAGTATCAACTATTATTTTAGAAGTAGTCAATCAATTCCAAAGTGCTAAAGATTCTAGCATTCTTTAATTGTATTATATAATTTTATTTTTCAGCTCAGAAGATAAAATAACTGTTCACTTCATAAACCGTGATGGTGACAAACTGACAGCCAAGGGGAAACCTGGGGATTCACTGCTGGATGTTGTTGTTGACAATAATCTAGACATAGATGGTTTTGGTAAGTAGATTCACTGAGTATTTTATTCAGTGTCTAGAAATTGTTTCTCTTTTTTGCAATCTAAATTATACTGTAAATATTTATGCATAGACCCTCAACATCATTGAGTCCCACTGTAAATGAATATTTTATATATAAAACCTAGCTGTACTTCACTTGGGTTTTCTCCCCTTTTTTTCCTCCTGCAGGTGCATAGAATATTTTGGTTCAAGTTTTAAAAAATATTTGGGGTGATCTGGGCTTGAGTACTAAAGAGGGGAATATGCCCAGAGTGCCGTCAAAGTGGAGTCTGAAACTTGCCACCTGCAGACCTCTCCTGAGCTCAAAGGTTCTGTTCTGCAGGCAGCACAGAGCTGGTGTATTTCTAACAGTGTCTGGTTACTTCTGTAGTGCCAGACTGTCTCAATTTATTATCAGGCTTTCTGTAGCACCTCCATATCTGTAGCAGAGGAGTGCAAAGTGAAAGAAACAGCCAAATCCGTGTGAGTTAGCAGGGAAGAGCAAGGAGTTTAATTCTTATTAAAGAACTGGGGTAAAGGAGACCTTGTGGAATTCTAACTTGGTACAAGTTCTGTTTAAAATCAAAACAGGAGGAAGTTACAGCTTCTCTCTATTTCTGCAGAATTTTGCACTTTCCATAGTTAGACTCATAGGATGGTTTGGGCTTGAAGGGACCTTGAAGATTGTTCAGTTCCAAACCCCCCTGCCATGTTCATCTTCCACCTGCCCTTGTTGCTCAAACCACAAGACCACATTGCTCAAAGGTATTAGGTAATTGCAATTAAATACCTTGGGAAGGTATTTATATGAACATGAGCTGAAAAATGAACAGACCTAAAGCAGAAAGTGGTAGTACAATTTTCAGAACTGAATGCATAATGTGGAGCAATTGGTAGGAAAAAAAAAGGCAGCAGAGTACTGTAGCACAGTTTGAAATTTGATGTGTGTTTTCGTTAAGTGCAGATAAATTTTACTGCTAGTGATAAAATCTTTGGTAAGATTTAAAATTTTATACGTAATATCTGAGATATCTTTTATGTCTGGAGTTGCATATATCTGGGGAAGAAAAACTGTCTCAAAAATTTGTAATGCAACTGGCTTTATGTATCAATTATTACTCATTTAGGTTTATTGCATTCTACAGCAAGTGTTCTCTTGTCAATATCAGCTGTGTTAGAGCATTGTGGTAAAGTGGCAAAAAGCAATGCTGTCAATAAAAGGAAGTCAAACTGAAAATTTAGAATACTGTTACAGTCTTTAATTATAATATGAGCGATTCCCATTTCAATAACTGCTTGCTAATGAAACATTGTACTAGGGCAGAGAAATAATGTAGCAAAAATGTAGGTTCTGTGTTTAAGAACAAAGTAATAAAGGAAAAGTAAAATGTAATCCTGCTTATTTGCTTCTGTCACTAGGGGGCATCCCATGTGCATTAACAATAATAGATATATCTTTTTATAAAGGCTTACAGATTTTTTGAAAGATTCAGCTGTACTCAATTTGTTATTGCCAGTTTTATGGCTTTATGTTTGTGGAAAGACCTTCCACTGTTCAAAGAGACTGGTCAGCGTTCTTTCCTTCCCCCCTCACCCCTTCCCTTACTTCCCCGACATAAATGATCCTTAAGCTGCTGATAGGACAAATTTTATGTTTGGCATTTTAATTAAGCTCCGCTTTTTCATGTGTATTTGAAGACATGATATAATTTAAAAATCAAATGTTGTATTACAGTGTCATGCTCACCTTGAATACATACTTTTGGTTCTGTAGCAGCATGGTGCTTTCTGTGTGGTTCTCAAGGTCTAATGATGAGTTCCACTATTTCTTTTCATAGCAATGGTTATACATACAGCCTTGCTTCTCTTATTTCCATGATTACAAAGGTGATGTGGTCACAGTAGATTTTGTCCTGCTCTCCCTAGAAATAAGTAAACAAGTGAAGATTGGCTAATGTGTTATCTGATTCTCTTCTATCAATTCAAATCAGAGCCTGAGGTTTGTAATCGCCACAGTATTTAGCTGTCCCACTCTTCTTGATTTGCATATTTCTTTTTCAACTTGGTGCTAGCCCAAGACACAGACCAATACAGTGACAGAGACAAATTTGTTGCAGTTCAAACTTGTACTGTGCTGTGGTGTCCTAATTGCTGTAGCAGGTAGGTGGAGTTGGTGCTTGTGCTGCTCTGCCCAGCAACTTGTTAGGTCCTTGACTCCTACTGGAGCACTTCATAATCCATGTAGGCCATCTCTCTCTAGCCTGACTGCCTTTGTTGTTGTCATTTAGTGTTGTGGTGAGTGAGAAGAAATAAGTATAAAATCCCTCCTCCCTGTACTTCTAAAGAATTGTTTTTGTGTAGCAGGTGTCTGCTGTTGAACTTCTAGAGAAAACCTTGGGAAAGAGAGAGATAAGAAGGATCAGTATTGGAAATAAATGAAGTAGTGTTGATTGACAGCATTGTCTGCTTTTGCATTCTCATAGTAGAAAGCTATTCTTTCTTTAAATAATGGAAAGGAAATTAGTTAAGTATTTTAACTGATTACATAGCATTTTTTAACTGATTACTTAGCATTTAAGTAAATCTTAGTGCTATAGTAACTGTAGAAATGCTATTAATAGTTGAATGCAGAGTAGGTATATGAATGTGGGAATATACAGAACATTAATTTTGCTAATCAACTGAGACTTCTTGTATGAAAGAAACACATGTAGTATTTCTTCTGAAATTCAGCTGCAATCTGAAACTGGGTTTTCTATTATCTTGATTTATTTTTCTTTAGGTGCTTGTGAAGGAACGCTAGCCTGTTCAACTTGTCATTTAATATTTGAAGACCACATATTTGAGAAACTAGATGCAATTACTGATGAAGAGATGGACATGCTGGACCTGGCTTATGGCCTCACAGAAACGTAAGGCACCATAACACTTCCCTACATTACTACTTCAAAGAATGGGAAGAAAGGTTTGCAGATGGGGCAATCCAATATTCTTGGAGCACCTTAATCAGCTTTTAATGAATAGATGGATTTTGTTACACAAATGGGACTGCCAAGTTTAAACGTTGTTTGTCTGAATTAGTATTAAGAAGATGTCAGTATTGTTCCTGTGACTGAAAAGGTCTTCAGAGGGGTCTGGTGCAGAAATGTTAGTGCTAAAGTATGATGGGAAACCCAGTTCCTTCCTTGAAAGCTTTGCCACTGCTGTCCTGTGTGTGGATTTTCTTACTCTTGTTTCTCCGCCCTTCTATTTCCTCTCCCTTGTTAGTCTGTAGCTAGTTAATATATTTTATTAATGTGTTTATGTCAGTGTTTTAGGTTTTGGTCAGATCTTCTTTTCAGAGTCACAGAACGTAGAGGTTGGAGGAGACCTCTTGAGGTCAACTGGTCCAACCCACTGCTCAAGCAGGACCACCTAGATCCGATGCCCAGCACCATGTCCAGACAACTTTTGAATATATCCAAGGATGGAGACCCCACCTTGTCCAACCTCTGTGGTATTTATGTACCAAGGTTTGCTAAGATCCTTCCTCCAAGCCTTCTCTAGGACAAACAGTGTAGAGATGTGTCAGTGTCCATACTTGTTATGCTTTGACTCCTATCATAGTGATCCTTGTGCACACAAACCACATTCCCTTTTGGGAGAAACTGATCCTGAAGTGTGCTCTGACTGCTCAGAGGCATTAGGATTAGACTAGTGGTGCTCCAAAGTAAGCCTCTGTTCTGCATCACCCCCACCATCACACATCTTGTAGTTAGGGTGTTAATCCTCATCACAGACCCATTCCTGGTGGGCTGTTGTACTTGCTGGTGCACAAGTACACGGTACTGCGGTAAAGTACATGCTCACGCTGTTTGTGTGAGCATGTTCTTTACCACAGAACAGGCTCACACAAACAGTAGGCAGCTGTGCCTTTTGAGGTTTCATAACCCCATTCCTTCGTGTTTCAACAGAACTGCTTGTTGAAGTTTTTGAGAATCTTTCCAATGATGTCAGAGGCTTTATACCTGGTCTGTATAGCATAGAGTTTGTCTCTGCAAAGAAGTACTCTGAATTAACTTGTCTGTCCCCTTATATCAGTAAAAGGAATCCTCAACTCATCATTTCTACATGACACTTTCTCACTTAAGCCAAATTTTAGCATTTATGTGAGGTTGGAAGGGCAAAGAAGTCAAGCTATGAGAAACTTGTAGCTTCTTTTGTTTTATCATTTTTCCTGTCTCACAAAAACCCATTTTCAGTTTTGAAAAAAAATCCATAAGCCTATTAAGGCTGCCACCTACCATAATAAAAAGAGTAATTTTTAGGGTCAGGGCCAAAATAATTCCTGAATAGCTCTGGAGGCATATGATCTAATAAAAACCTTTTTTTCTTTGGCTACCTTTTTAGTAAAGGTTTAAAGCAAGGAGATTTTCCGGAGGAATTGGAAAACAGTAGCAAACCAGAGCTCTTTGTTTAAGTGTTTCTATTTTCTCCTCTAAGTTCTTCATATGAAATGAAGCTTTACACCTCTGAAGGTTTTTGGTACTTCTATTAGGTTTTCCTAGCATCACATGTTCTTTCTATGGCCAGGGACCTTCCATTTATATGGGAAGATGACTCCTCTGAAAGGTGGAGCTCTAAGTGGTTGGTATTTGCTGCAGGTTACCTGGACTCCTGTGCTGATGTAAATTTGTGTAATGGAGATGTACTTCTATGTTCTGTCACAGGTATAAGCATAGAAGCTTATTCTTGTCAGTGACTCTGTATTTGGGAAAGTTTCAGCCAGCAACTGCCGTGAAAGTTCATGTTTTTTAAAATGAAGGATTAATTGGTTAAAATGAAATTCTTTTGATCAACTGTGGAACAGTAGAAAGTAGTAAGATAGGGGAGTGCAAACCCTGGAAAGTTAAAATACTAAAGCAAAAAATAAGATGAGAAACAGCTTGCAAAAAGTAGGTAAATACTTTTGTTTCTAACCTATCAGCAACAGGGAACTTCGTCTACGTGCTGAGCCAAGGGGTGATGTAGAAGGTGAACATAAAATAGAAAGAGATAACATAATGCAAAAGAAACTTGACTTTTATCTCTAGAGGTTTTATGGGCTGTCCATGTACTAGAAGGTTTCTTTGCAAAGGGTGTCCTGGTATATTCTGTGATCTTTCAAACTAATGTGTCCATGGATATAGTAATACTCATAATAATTAAAAAAAATAAAAATTGCTTATCCATATAAGTCACTGAGATGAAGAAAGATCATGCAGTTCATGCAGTTTACTTAGGTCTAGAGATTGTTTACTAAATTTTGAGGTGCAACAGCATAAGAACAAAGGCCCTGTAAAGGCTAAGTAATTGGTTAAACTCCCCCCCCCCCCCAGTCTTTTATTAAGAAGTATTAAGATGCCTGGTAGAAGTATGTGATCAACAGCATGATGTAAAAGTGATTGGTGCTAGGTTTTAATTAGTGTGAGCATCCTTGTGAAAGACCTAGGAAAACACAGTGCAGAGTAAGGGTTGTTTACTTTGCTGTGGTAATGTCACCGGCCTGTGAAAACAAGCAAGAGGATTTTATGCTCTTGAGCAATAGGAAATGACATTTGGAGTTAAAAGGCAAGTGCAGATAAATGCATATGGAGAGGCGGATAAAAGACTGGGAACTCTACATTCTTGAGACAGGCTGTCAGCTAGTTAATGTCTTGCCAGGGACTGGTCCTACGGAACATTGCCCATCCTTGCTGATGTCTTTAGTATTCTATACTTAAATACTGACACATGGACATTGAATTAAAGTTATCCCAGCAATAAAAGTAGCTTGTGATGTCTGCAGAATTTTGTTGTAGTATTAAATCTTCTGGTTTTAATTGCCTGTGTGCAACATCTGGTTTTCTTGTGCTGAATGATGGGTATAGAAATGAAGGACGACATCTCCTCTGGTGCCTTGAGTGTTTTATCCTTCTTCCTATGTTTCTTGTCTTTTCACTCTTACTTTTCTGGCTTACACCCAATCTTGAGTTTTTTAGTTTAAGAACATTGAATTCTGGATGGAGGGGCTAGGCTTTGTTTTTTCTGAGGCTTTCATTCAGAGTCATTGCCTTTATCTCGTCAGAGGTGCCAGATGTCCCTTGGGAGATCAAGCACCACTCCTTGCACTGGACTGACCTCTTAGTGACCCACTGAAAAGGGAAGGGTCACCCATATCCTGCATTGTCCAGTGAGCAGGAAGTATTCAGTTGTGGGACTTTCCAGTGTGCTGAGCTCTCTTCTGGCCATAAATCCTGGCTATTGCCACACAGATCCTTGTGCTGATGCACGTGGTTCACTCTGTGCTGGACTAAGGCCCTGCGCAAGAGTGGCTGTTCCTAGTTCATGGTCTGTTTGGGGTGGCTGAGTGTTGGAGATGTAAGGGGGTAAATGCTGTTAGATTGCTGGGCTAGAACTAACACTGATGTCCTGTTTCCCCACAGATCACGTTTAGGCTGCCAAATCTGCTTGAAGAAATCAATGAATGATATGACTGTTCGAGTACCAGAAGCTGTGGCTGATGCTAGACAATCAGTAGATATGAGTAAAAACTCCTAAAAGAAAATATCCTAGGGGTTTTAAAGAAGCTTAATTATTTTTATAACTTATTTTTAAATGTGTAATTAAATATGGAAACTTACATAATTGTGAGTTATTTTATATGACTATCAATATTAGATTAATGCTATTTTAATTTTCTTTATAGAACCTCTTATATTTTTACGCTTAAAATGCAATAATACTTCTTATAAGTAATCATTGGATTATAAACATTAGCAAGTGTATTACAGATTTCATACAACATTATTCTGCCAAAACATTTAATGACATTTAAAAACTGAATCACTTGTACAGGACTCTCCTAAAACAAACTCTGAGCATTTTTAGGAGTCAGACCTGAATGTGTAAGAGAAAAGAACTTGTAGGACTGCATGGGGTCTTTTTGAAGTGTTGCCATTAAAGATGTTGTGCTCAGAACTAGTTAAAATTCTCAGTAGATATGATACTTCCTCAGCAAATAGTAAATTATCAGGATAGGAATTTTCCAGACTTTGGAGTCTTAATGAGATATGGCAAATGTTGTCTTGTGAAAATACTGCTAAACCCATGAGTTCTAGGAGCTGTGTTACAGTTTAACCCAGTAGGCAGCTAAATGCCACACAGCCATTCACTTCCACCCCACCACTGCCCAACCATCCCCCCCTTCCAAATGGGATGGAGGGGATAGACTTGGATGGAAACAGTAACATTGATATGTTGAGATAAAGACAGTTTAATAGGACAGAAACAGAAAGGAAAACAACAGTGATGATGACAAATAAAATACATAAAACTAGTGAGGCACAACACGATTGCCCACCACCTGATGACTGATGCCCAGCCAGTTTCTGGGCAGTGACCCCCAGCCAGCTTTTGCCCCATTTGATATTTTGAGCATGACACCATAGAGTGTGGGACCTCCCACTGGTCACTTGGGGTCAGCAGTCCAGGCTTTGTGCACCCCCACGAGGTGAGGTGAGAATCTCAAAAGGCTTTGACTGAGTTGTTGCTAAGCTGTGTTTACATTAAAACACCAGTGGGTTATCAACATTATTCTGATTCTACATCCAAAGCAGCACTGTACCAGCTACTGGGATGAAAATGAGCTCTCTCCCAGGTGAAACCAGGACAGGCTGATGCAGGATGTTGGCACCTGCAGCTTAACCCTGGCCCAAATAAGATGTCAGTAAACCTCAGTAATATTTACAATTTGACTACACCACAAATACTGTGGTAGACCAGGCTAAGAATGAATCCTTGGAGCTGTGTAATGGGAGAACATGCCCAGTGGAATTAAAATTTACCCATCACAAACTCTTATTGTTCTCTGAATATAGCTGAGTTGGGATTGAACAGGGCAATGTTTGTCAATATCAGATTTGTTCTGAAATCTTTATTCCTTTTTAGTTTTGAGCTTGTGCAGGAGGCAGTCTGACATTAGCTAGGGTGTTCAGTTTGAAGAAATTGCTTGATTCTGGGCCTTGCTCACAGGATCGTTTCAGTTATGGCTGATGTGAAATGACCAAGTTGATTTGTTTCATAAAAATGGCCTAGATTCCCCAGAACCTAGGTTATTTAGGAGGTGTTCCCTAGGTTATTTAGGAGGTGTTCCCTAGGTTATTTCCCTAGGTTTATTTGTTTCATAAAAATGGCCTAGGTTCCTCAGAACCTAGGGGAACCACCAGAAGGTGTAGGGAAACCCTCATGTTGAGATTTGTCTGCATTGATGATGAAGAACTTCCAGTTGAATATTGGTTTAGTCTTTCTAAAGTAGCCCAAATAAAATTAATGTTTCTAAGACTGCTATTATTGCCAACTTTGCATAAATACTGATGTGAACTGGTTATCGCCAGTTACTAACTTCTAATTTTTTGGGCATTTATATATATATATATATAAACAACCATGTTTGTTTACATTTGGATGATATAGTACATTCATGAATGGTTTGAACTGGTAACAATGCCATCTGGACATCTTTTCTTGTATTATTGTATGTATGGAGGAGAGAAAAAATATTTTTCCAGTGTCAAATATTGGGATTATTTTGAGATTTGTAAAGAGGAAAAAAAGTTCCTCTTCATTATAAGAATGAATATTTTCTAGAACTGTATTGAAAATAGTTGTGAGTTAGATTCTTTTCTTTCCTCTCTTAGTTGCCTTGTTTCCTTCTGTTACCTTTCAACTTTGTTCTAATGCAAGGTATACTAATTGTGGTCTGCTCGAAACTTGATCATGTAGGGGTTTCAGAATACAATTCTGATGTAATCTGATTCAAATGGAGAGTTCAGAATTAAAATTTCCAGGCTTTTATGAAGGACAGAGAGAGGAAGGTTAGGGAGAAGGGTGGGCATAGGTTGAAGAAATGTTCCAAAGATGCTGCTGTCTTCTTTTTCTGCTGCTGTGACACTAACCATGACTGAGAGGTTGCCCTCACACAGTCAGACCTTAAGGTAAATCTCACCTTGTATTGCCTTTGTCCTGAGCCCATTAATATACAGTTATTACTATTAAATCTTGAGGTTTTGGGGTTTTTTACATGAGACAGCTCATCAGCTTCCAAGAGGGGGAACTGGATCATGACCAGATGTGTTGTGCATTTGTATATCAGAAAGAAATATGAGGTTTCAGTATACCTGTAAAGTTTAGGGGTAGATGTTGATATTTATTGAGTTTTGGGCTTGTCTTGTGTTTTTGGTTGGGTTTTAAGTTTTTGATTTTTTTTTTCCATTGGATTATTTGGGTGTTTTTTTCATACAGCACCAGGTACTTCTTGTGGGTATCTTGAAGTGCTTAACACTGTGTTAAACAAATGTGGAACAGCTCCCAAGTGAGTTTTCTTTCTAAGCCAAGGTGGTTTCATTGTGTGTTTCCTGTGACAGTTTCTCATTACAAACACTTTGACTCTCCTACAGTGTGCCTGTGGAATAAACTCATCACAGCAAGGCAAAAAAAGGACACTTCGAAGTTCATTTTGAATTCTAGAGGTATCCCATACTGCATGCAAATGGAAATCTCAGAACACAAAGGAACTGATTGTAGTCCCCAAAATGCACAGCTCAGAGATACTAGTTTATTGTCAAAATTACTTGCAAATAAATCTTATTTTTAACCTCTTTCTGACACCTCTTGTTTTGTGGATTTTTCTTTCCTTCTTCTCTAAGCTATTGAATGTATTTCTGGGGGGAAAATGGAACTTACCCATTAATGGTGCACTTTAAAGTGTAAGTATGAAATTTTGTGTAGTGACACACAATTATAGCATCAAAATTAGTTGAATACATGTTTATTTCCCTGTTCAAATAAAGATTACAGGTAATTTGCTTTCTAAAACCATTTCCTTTGTTAAAAGATGGGGTCAGTGGGTTTCTTCTGTCTCTCCCCCCTCAAAAATGAGGAGCAAATCAAAACCAACTGTTTCCTTTGTGTTGTAAACTAAACTTTAGAAGCATACTCAAAGTCTAGGGCTGGCACAGATCATTACTTCACAAGCTTTAGGGAGTGGTGGGTTGCAGTGTCGTCTGTTGCTGGTGAGTAAATAGGTCCTTTGGCTTGGGTTGTGTTTGTGAGAAAGTCAGGCCAAAACCATCCCTCTGCCTTTTCAGGAGTGTGGGGGAACTTGTCTGTGGCTCTAGACTGTCCCTTCCCTCTACTGCCCTAATCAGCAGTCTGGCCCAAGCCAGCAGAGTCTGTGACATTTTGTGGCATGTTTGTGTGGTGTCTGAAGGGGGAAGAAGGATGTGCCTTGCATCATTCCCACACCACCACATCTTCATCTGTCAGAAGTTCCCATTTATCTGGACTGCAGGCTGTTGGGAGAGTGAAAAAGGCAAGTTCTGTAGGCAGTTTGTGACTTCTCAGACAAAAATTAAATCTTGAAAGCTCATTTTTTTGGCTGTGGGGCTCTGGAGGATTTAAGACAGCTGTGTTCAAACCTAATTCACATCCCAGTTGGGGGCAAGTTGAAAAGGCCATGTCCAAAAAAGCTGCAGCGAAGATGTGGCACTTGGCCTTCTCACAGGTCCAGGCTAGAGTGTGGAGGAGATTTCCTACAGCCTATATTTTGCCCTTGCAATGAACAATATGGTATGCAAAGATAGGGCATACAAAAAAATCCTTATTTCTTGGGGAAAAAAGGAGAAATAAATCTTTAAAGGAGGAGAAGAGATGCTCAAGCCGAGTCAGTGAGTTACCAAATAGTAGAAAACATTAGGAAGAGTGCAGCTGCTTGAGATGATTTCTCCTCAAGTGCCCTGAAAAGATGTGAGAGTGGGAATTTCCTGCATGGTGGCCGGGGCTGTGGCCTCCCAGGGTGGCCGTGCAGCCCCATGTCCTGCTCTGGGCTGCAGTGCCCTGGTACTTTCTCTCCCTGTTGTGCTGCCTGGACAGCGACAAGAGGCACGGTCCATCCACAAGCAAACAGGCATTAAAAGTATAAACGATGGCATTAAAAGTAACCCTGAGATTTACTTTCTAATCCACTGGCCACCACTTGCTTTTTATGGAGTTAAGCAGAGGTTTTTGATGTGAAGTAGTCCACATTTCAAAATGTTTTTAAAAAGTCATTTGTAGCCGCCAGTGGTTTAGCATTTGCAGCTTCAACTCTTCATCAAAAAGCTGTTGGCTTATTGTGCTCGGCCAAGCGTCTCTGGGGCTGCCCTTCATAGTTCTGGAAGGTTCCTTTGATGTTCATTCCCTTGACTCCAGCTTGGCCAGGAAAAGGCTATTCCGTGCATTTACACTGCCCCTGTGCTTCCATGTGCCCAGGTCCAGCCGGCATCCTGCGCCTACCCCCTTCCATAGCGCGGCGCCCCCTCCCCGAGCCGGCTCTAGGGCATCTGCGAGAGATGAGAAATTCTGGAACGGGCTCTGAACAGACTCGGTGCCGCCTTCTTTGGGTCCGCTCAGGTACAGCGGAGCCCTCCCGTCTGTGGCTCTTTCAGAGAGCGTGTGTTCCCGGCATTGCCTCGGCCGGTGCTGACCCCAGGCGGTACATCCCTGCAGCACAGCGCTCCAGGGATTAAAACTCCATATGGGAACAGAGCAGCCGTGCGGGACAGCCACGCTCAGCTCCCCCCCAGCTCCCTCCTGGAGGGAGGTCCGGGCAGTGCCGGGAACGCGGGGATAGCACTGGAAAAGCGCCATTGCTGCTTCAGGCCGGGCTGCGGCAAGGCTTGGCGTGTATGCCAAATCAGCCACAGCTGATAGGAGACATACGGCTGCACGGACACACAGCCATCGGTCACACAGCCATCGGTGACACGCACACGGAACGCGCGGCCCGCCCTGTGCCCCGTGAGCCCCAGCCCCGCAGGCAGCCGCACCTTCGGCCGTGAGCTGCCGGGGAGCTGGTGTGGGACTGGTGTGTTATATTGCACTAAACAGTTTATTTAGTTGTTGTTTTGCACTGGGTGATCGGAGATTTGCACTGACTAGTCTTTATATTGCATGAATAGTTTATGTTGTATCACATGGCTTGTTCTTCCCCTCTCTTATCACATGGTTTTCCCTCATCCACTGCTCTCCCCAATACCCCCTGGTAGTCTCTCCCCACTTGTATCCCATTGCTTGTGGTCCTCTTCCTCCGCCCCCCTTCCCCGGGTGTAAAGTCCCCCTAGAGGAAGCTAGCCGGCCTCTTTCCATGTGGGTTTTTCCCTGTGGTGGTTCTCAAAGCAATGAACGGAGGACATTCGTTCTCTACGTGGATGAGAGTGCTTCTGGTCTTTTGCTTTCGTCCATGTAAGATCGTGTGGGCTAGGTCCATAGCCAGCCGGACTGGACCTGAACAGCCCGCCCAGACACGGATCTTACACTGCTGCCTTCCCGGGACAGCCCCGGGAGCAGCCCCAGCACGGGCTCAGGCGGCCGCCATGGGGTTCCCCTGCTTGTCAGTGTGTCTGCTTCCATGTCTTGGTGGCACTGATCCATCAATCACATAACCCAACACTGCTCAGCGTGGGACATTTGTGCTCCTGGTTTCTCCAGCACTATGTTGTTGTTGTTGTTGTTGTTGTTATGTATTACACGTGAGAAGTGGTAACAGCCGGGGATGCTGGTGCCATGTCAAGTAATCCCTTCCAGATGCTCCAGAGCAGTCTGCAGGCACCTGTGGCAGCTGTACCTGCTGCCAGCTATGGCTGATCCGGTTCTCCTCCTGTTGGCAGCAAACTGCCACTGGCAGCTGGGGGGCTGAAATCCCTGGGTTTGGAGAAGTCACTGAAGGAGATACCAGGCCACAGACAGCATTCCTTCTTCAGGATGTGTTTGATGAAAAATGCCTCTTCTTAAGGCTCCAGTTGTAGCCCTGATTTTTTCAGATTTTCTAAGCCTTCCGATGTTTTCATTCTTGTAACTAAATTTCTCACACACTTTCTGTAAATAACTCACTGTTTTGCATTCTTCTATGGAGAAGGAGAAATTTGATGGGCTGTTGGTTTGTCCAGTGTCATTGGAGAGGTGGCACTTTCACCCTCCAACCCACTGTCACTTTTGAAAAACTATAAATGTTGGAGTCAGAAAATAAACTTCCTTTTTCTTCACCTTGAGAGCAGCGGTGTGCGTGCGTTGTGTTGTTTCGTGTCCTGTAGCAACATCCAGTTTTGGATCAAGCAAATATCCAGATGAGTTGGATGTTCTTACTCCATCCAAGTGCATCTGAGCAGACTCAGGGGCAGGTTAGCAGCTCCTTTTCATTTTACTCTTCTTCAAGGAGCAGCCCTGCTTTGCACAGGTAAGCTAGCACTAGCTTTTGATATGGGGAGTGCTCACAGGCTTTGTTGGGAATGGCTTGGAAGAAGAAGGGCATTCCCTTTCTAGAAAACTCTGACTGGAGGGGAGAAAGAGAAAGAGATGGGACATAAGATCACAGTGATGCAGCTGCAGCTTCTCAGATCCAGGAGGGAGGCAGACATGTCCCACCCAGGGAGCAAGCAATGGGTTTTGGCTGCAGATTAAAGGAGAAGGTGTCATTTCAGAGGAATGTTTAGCAACAGATGAAAACAGCTATAAAAGAAAACAAATGGTGTCACAGAGACAAGGAATATGGTAGCTCAGAGTGACAGGGAAGCTCGTTCAGGCTGTGGTTCCATTCCAGGGACTGATGACTGTCAGGAGGGAGTGCAGCAGGGGATGGCTGGAGCAGGAGAGTCTCTGCTTCAGATTTCAGCACTTTTTGGTTTTTTCTTCCAGCCTAATTGAGTTGTTATGATCATCACAGCTTTTGGAATTTTGGAATCAGAAAACCAGGAAAAACATGTTTTGTCCTGGCATGGAGAAATAAAAGCAATCAGTGTCCTGTGTCTTGAAGTTTCCTGCCCTTCTGGGGCTTGAAACTTCAAGGAGGAGGGCAGCAACAGGAGTCTCTGAGGCAGAGGTCTGGGGAGCAGAGCAGAGCTGCCCTGGGGGTGAATGTTGTCCTGGTAGGGAAGCTCAGGAATCTGGGGTCTCCCTCTGCCGAGTGATGTATACAAAAAATGTTTTTACAGCTTGAAGAGCTTGTGTCTGAGCATTCAATGTGAGCTTCACATTAAATATTACTTTCATTAGACACCTCATCACTGGTCTTTCATTCTCTACTATTTTGCCTTTTATCAAATATTTGGTTAAAAAGGTTGGGAGATACCTAGCTTCTGAGTTGTCTGTTACAGGACTTACTTTTGGAGGTAAAAATGCTTAAAGGGGGCACAAGACACTAGAGATTTTTACAGCAGCACACAGAAATGAAGGGGAAAGCCAATTACTGGGGAACAGGAGTTAATTCTTCGAGTAAAAGTACAGAGTAACCACCAGATATTTGCTGTGATGTTTCACTGCTTATATAACTGGTTAATCAGTGCTGCCAACTGCCCAGCACTGGGCTGCTCCTGGTTTACCATAAAGCCACCATATATAATACTTTTAATCCATTTCTACTTCCTTCCAGCTGAAGAGTCTCCATAATGGCTCTAATCACAGGAAATTTGTAACATTAGCATTCCCCTGAGGGACAGGTACTAGAAGTTCTTACTCTCTTGCAAAATAATTTCCCCAAATCTTTTAGCCAGTGAGTGAAAAATCAGCTCAGCTTGAGCTGCTGTGTAACCTGTGCAAGTGCAGCTGACCCAGGACCTGATGTACTGCTCAGT